CGCCCTGGCTCGCGGCGTACCTCCTGGGTCCCTGGCAGTGACTCCGGCCTCTCGGAGACGGCGAGCTGGCCGCAAGCCGGGCGGCAGGGAACCGGCGAGCGCTTAACCCTGCCCGGGCCGGGAGCCCCAGCCCGACCCCACCTGCCTCCTCCTCCTCCTCGCCGCGGAGCTCCTCTTCGACCGTCTCCTGAACTTTAATGACGGGCAATTAGCGCGGAGAGTAATTATGACGCTCCTCCGCCCGGACTGTTAGCGGGCAGCGCCGAGGTGTCGGTCCCTCCCGGCTCGCGCTGCCCGTCAGCCTGGCGGAGCCTCGGAGCAGCGGCGGCTACGCGGGGAGGATCCTCCCGGAGGGAGCAGGTTGCAGCGAGCGAGCGGGGTGTTGCCTCTCGCTCCAGCTCAGCCCCGATCCTGCACTTGAACCTCCGGCGGCGGCGCGAGGGGGGCGGGGCCAGCGCCGCGGAAGGTAATTCACCGCCCCGGGAGCACCCGCAGCCCAGCACTCGGCCGCTTGGAGTCACCAACCTGAGCGACGTGTCCAGCCACCCAACGGAAACGGGGAAGTGATCAAACCTGGCTCTACTCGGTGGGAGGTTAGGACGGGAACAAAGGTCAAATGCACGGAAGGGTGGCGCGCTGGGAGCAGTGAGGGGCCCCAGGAGTCCCTTTCAGCTAAGACGTCAACCTAACCAGTCAAGCTAGTCTTCACCTTTCCTTTCTTGAGCACCTCCTCCAAGAAGCCTACTGTGGTTACGTAGAATCATAGGGAAGCCTTAGGAATACTCAGAAACCCGACAGCTTTTAAGTCCCTCCATATATGGCACCAGAAGTAGAAAATTAGCAAAGAGCTAATGAATGTGCTCTGTGTACAGAAGGCAAGCATTTCATATTGGTGTCATCGGAGCCTACAGTTCTACTCTCTCAGGGTCTATATCAAAGATGGGGTGCACTCAGCTTTCCCTGTCTATACAGGACCTGCTCCTGGGGATCCAGTTTGGTGTCCACTGTTCCTACTCCTGTGCCAAATCCAAGGGAATAATTAATTAAACCATAAAAGATATGTCTCTTGCTTTTTTAAAGTATGCATTTTTTTCTTTTCTTTCTTTCTTTTTATTTACTTATTTATTTATTTCTAGTACTGGGGATTGAACCCAGGGGCTCTTAACCACTAAGCCACGTTCCCAGCCCTTTTTAATATTTTATTTAGGGACGGGACCTCACTAAATTGTTTAGGGCCCCACTAAGTTGCTGAGGCTGGCTTTGAACTCATGATCCTCCTGCCTCAGCCTCCTGAGCCAATGAGATTATAGATGTGGGTCACGGCACCCTGCTAGGTGTGCATTCTTATTGAAAGAGATGCCTGTCTTTAAAGAAAACAATGTGTCACATGACAGTTGGCAAGGATCTATTGAGTGAACATACTTTTTGTGAGCATTTGAAGAGATTTAATCCCCTTTCCACTTGGGTAACTCCTATTCATCCCTCAGTGTCTGTCCATGTGCTCCCTCCTCCAGGAAGTTACTTTGACTCCACCCCAGATTGATATGTCCATCTTCTGTGTGTTATGCTGCCTTCTATATGACTCTGTAGCAGTATTTATCACACTAAAATGCAATGACTGCTTTACTCATCTTTCTCCTTCACTGGACTGTGTGTTCCTCCAGGTAGGGGCTCTGTCTTATTCATTTTTACAGCCCCAGCACCTGCGAGGACAAACAATTAATGTTTGATAAATGCCTGATATGGTCATACCTGGGAACTGCTCTTAACTCCAACCGTAATCCTGTACTTTTGACCTTATTCAGGGGCACACTGAATATCACCCTTGGCAACAGCAAGGGGTGTGTAGGAAGATCTTTCTGGAAAAGGAAACATCCAGGGAGCCTTCCTTCCCAGGTCTGCCAACTGTAGGGTGTAACATTTATACATCTGATGGATGGTGAACCTAAAAGATGCCTCAGAGGTCTTTAGTCCAATCCTCTGTTTGAAACATAGGAAACTGAGGAGCAGAGAAGGCAAGGGGCTGCTCAGGGTCACTGAACAAGGTGGTGGCTGAGAAGGACCTGCTCACTAGTGTCCCAGGCCAGAGCTCTTTCCATTACATCACTCTGCCTCCACAACGCTGGAAGTGAACTCTGCCAACACACACGGGTTGATTCACGGCCAGGTCTAATTGAGTCCATTCTCCAGATGCAGAGGAGAAGAAGAAACCCGTAACACTCAACTCTCTTCTCCCTTCTCAGATCCTATACATTTCTAGTAGACAAAGTTGCATTTGTTGGTAAATTGGGCCACACTTGAGAAGCATAGATGAGGATCTTGTTGCCCCTTAGCTCCCAGACTGGGAAGACAAGAGAGCAGGCCCAGACCCCAGCCTGGTGAACCATCTGTGAGAATCACCCTGCTGGGCTGGGGCTGGGGCTCAATGGTAGAGCGATCACCTAGCACTCTGGAGGCCCTGGGTTCGATCCTCAGCACCACATAACAATAAATAAAATAAAGGTATTGTGTCCAACTACAACTAAAAAAAAAAGAGTCGTCCTGCTGATATAGTCCAGCCACCTGCCCAGCCCCTGTGATATCAAGGATCTAAACTACCAGCACTGTTGCCAAGACGCCTCAAGGGCAAATACCAGCAACCAGTGTAATCCCAGTCCAACCTGAGCAACCAGAAGGGCAGCTGCATGTGGGTGGAAATTGGGGACAAAATGATACATATTCGAAAATGTTTGCAAGCCCACTGTTTTCTGGGAGGAGTTGGGGGCTCCTGTTGACCTCCTCACAAAATTGTTGTCTTGTTTAATTTTTAATCTAGCCCTGGACTCCTAGGAACATTCACTTAAGCAAGAAAAGGCCAGTGTTTGATATTCTGGGATTTTTTTTTTTTTCGGTAGGTGTGGGGGGGTTCTGGGGATTGAACCCAGGGCCATGTGCATGCAAGGCAAGCACTCCCTACCAACTGAACTATATCTGAGCCCTGATATTCTGAATAGCTGGATTTTTATTGTTGTTTTTGTTGTTGCTGTTGTTGCTTTCTGTTCTCATTTGAAATAAGAAATCAGGTTAGGAAATCTTTTTCTAATTGTGGTGGATCCTCACTCGTAACTTTTTACATTCTAGTTCTTGTTTACCAATCGCCATTAACGTTGATATAACTAGTAATGACATTTTAGCTGAAGAGCTATGGGTATGCAGGAAAAGAGTAGAAAACCCAGATAAAAACAGCTCTTGGGGCTGGGTGTGAGGGTACATGCCTGTAATCCCAGAGATTTTGGAGGCTGAGACAGGAGGATTGCAAATTTGAGGCCAGCTTCAGCAATTTAGCAAACCCTAAGCAACTGAGTGAGACCCTGTCTCAAATACATATAAAAAAAAGCTATGTTCCCAGCCTTTTTTTATTTTTTAATTTTGAGACAGGTTCACTCAGTGGCTGAGGATGGCCTTGAATCTGTGAACCTCCTGCCTCAACCTCCCAAGTCACTGGGATTTTTAGGCATGTGTCATCATGCCTGGATGGCAAGGTGTCATTTTGATATTGCTGGGTTTCACATGCTGGGGACTGCCAGCCTGCATGTGAAACCAACACAGCAGAAATGGAGCCTGAAGAAGAAGAGAGACTGGGTCCTCCTGCCATCCCATCACCCCTGGGGCCCAACTTGCCAGCAGAGGTTCTACCCCTGGAATTTCCAGTTATGGGTGCCAATAAACACCCTTATTTGCTTTAGTCAGTTTTAGTTGTGTTTCTCTCCCTAACAACTGAAAAAGTACTAATACAAAAGTCACAGAAAAAAACACACCTGTCTCTTTTATGTGCTAGGAAAGCCAAATAAGAAAATCACGTGAGTTTTTGGTGACTCATGAATAGGAGCCCAAGTCTTTCAAGAAAACCACAATTTTAGATCCAGAAAGGGTCTGAGTAATCATCGAGTCCAAGGTTCACATTTTCCCCTGGGAGAATACTAGAGAACTCAGGGGAAGCGCTGGAATTGTAGCCATTCCCTGGTGGAGTAGAAACCAGAAACTCACTCTGCAGAGCAAAGCTCTGCATTGTGACCTTTGCTCTATCTTTTGGACATTTTTGGCCTAGAGACTCACATGGTTACAAGAAGACTACAACATATTCCTCTGATGCATAAAAGAATGACCCCATCCGTGATCTTTGTGGAGTGCTAGTGTTTAATGGTTATGCTCACCTACCGGCTAGGTCCCCAGTCCTGCTGATTGTCTTACAGGAAGTAGGAAGCAAAGGAAAGAGAGGCAAGGGCCACCTCTGCTGGCCCCAGGGATTTGGTTACATAAATATGCAAGGGCCCAGGCAGATCCTTGCTTAAAGTCGTGCCTCTGTGAGGACTTAGAGGAGGAGGACCTTGTTATAAAAACTGTTGCTCTCATGCTGGCATCCTGAGGATTGTCTTCTTCTCAGGGTCTCTCCTTGACTCTGAGGCTCAGGTAGAGGTTCCCCTGCAGCCAGCTGAATTGATTACGTGTGTTCCACGATAGTTACTGAGTCCTTCTCTAGGTCAGGTACTGTTCTAAGGAAGAGAGACTTGACAGTGAGTAAAACAGAATATCCCTGCTCTCGCAAAGTCCACATCTAATATGTGGATAGTCTTAGAAGACGGTAAATCTATGGAGAAAAGGGGAAGAAGGACAGCCCTGGCTGCCGCTATCTTAAATGGCAGTATTTTGCAGGGGGGGTGGTCAGGGAAGGCCTCACTGAGAAGAATGACATTTGAACCAAGGTTTGGAGAAAGAGAACCAACCCTGTGGACGCCGGGGAAGCAGGTTCTAGGTGGAGGAAATAGTAGGTGGGAACATTCTAGAAGCATTTGAAGAAGGAGGCCGGTAGGGCTGCAGGAGGGAGAGCAAGGGAGGGAACAGGGGGAGGTGAAGACGGAGGAGCAGAGCAGGCCCGCTCAGGCCAGGCCACTCTGGGAGCTTTGCTTGGGTTCCACATGAGTAGGAAGGAAGGTAGGTGTGTGTGCCATGATCTCCAGGACACCATCTTGGAATACAGTAGAAGCAGACAGCAACGAAGAGGCTATTGCAAAAATTCAAGCAAGACATGAGCATGGCTCGGTTCAGGATGTGGGGGGCAGAGGAGTAAGAATGGTCAGATTCTAGTTATCTTTTGAAGGAAGGACTGACAGGCTTGGCTGATAGACTGTAAGTGGGCTGTGAGCAGCAGAGGAAAGCCCGTCTTTGGCCTGAGCAACTGGAAGGAGAATTGCCACGGACTGGAATGGGGGTGGGCTGCGGGGAGAACAGACGTGGCTGGGTGACAGGAGAGAGAGCTTCGATTCTGAGCCTGTTAAGGTGATGCCTTAAGATGTCCACGCAGAGGTGCCACAGAGGCTACTGGCTGGGGAGTAGAGATGTGCCTGGGGTGCCTGTCAGTGATTAGCTGGTATGACAGCCACAGGCCGGTTGAGATCACAAAGGAAACCAGTGCAGGTAGGGAGGGGGCGGAGATCAAGGGCTGAGAACTGGGGCGCTCCAACTTCTAGATGTCAAGTTAATGAGAAGGAACCTGCAAAGGAGACTGAATAACAAGCAGCTAATGAAGGAGAAGGAGAAAGGAGACAGCAGTGTCCGGGAAGTGCGCCTCGCGTGGATCACGTCACCCGCGAGAAGCAGCAGTGTGCAGGTGCTGCTGACGTTCTAGAAGGGCTGAGGTCAGGGTGGGTTCTGTCTGAGCAGGAAGCGACTTGTCCTCTGGTGTACAAGGGTGGAGGCACCGCTCAGGTGATTTTTAAGTGGGTCTGAGAATGGGCCTGGGAAGCTGATGGTTTTGGCTAATAAGCCCTTGCTGGCCGGGGAGAAGCACGCCCGAAATGTGCTTCCTTCAGCTCCATCGCGCAAAGCTTCTGCTCCGGCTCCTCCTGGGAATGATGCCAGACCAAGATGGCTGGCTGAGGTTTTTTTTTTTTTTTTTTTTTTTTTTTATTATTATTATTCCCTGCCAGGACTGTGTCCTGGAGCAGAGAGCTGACACTGGCAGCCCCCCAAAGGGGGAAGGGAGAATTGACATCCCCAGGGCAAGAGATGCCGGCTGGGTGGAGCCCCAGGAAAGGCCCTATTGTCAACCTACTGCTGTTTCTTCTCAGGGTCTCTCCTTGACTCTGAGGCTCAGGTAGGGATGCTCTTTCTCTGCTGATTTTAATGTCTGTCCTGAGGTCATTCTAGAAAATGGCAGCTGGTGCTGACTTTGGCATTTCCTGGAACTAACACAGCACCCGCGGTTCAGTTTAGTTTAAGAAACTTATAAGGCAGCATTATGCCTCCATCACTGTGAGAGAACAGTTCCAGCTTCTTCCCCTCTGTCTCTGCCAACGCGGGCCGGCTGCTCAGTCCTCTACATTCATCAGAGGGCTTGGCTCAGCTTCTCTCCTCCTTCCCATGGCTCCCTCTTAGTCGGGGTGATTTGAGGGCTGATGTGAATGAACTATCCACTGTCCCCAAATCACAATACCTTGGCATCCTCAACTCCAGGGACATTCCCCTCCACTCCAATGAGCCACTCACACCCGAGGGCATCCATTCCCTGGAGTTTCACCACTCAGGTATGCTCCAACCTGGAAACACCAACTCTACATCCCACTTTCTGACCATAATTTGGATCCACTCATCACCCTCCTTCCTTTCTCCCTGCTTCTTGGGGTCCTTTTGTACCTTTGGTCCCTTGAGTTTTGTCCTTATCCACCCAAGCCCTGTTCCACATCCTGCATTATTCAGCTCAGATGCATCGCCTGTCGCTTCCTCCCCTCGCTGGCCAATATCCTTGTCCTCAGCTGTGTCCACACTGCAAAGCTCCACCCTGGATTCATCTGCCCACTCTTCTGCTCCTATGCCCAGAAAAATGTCACACCAGGCTATTGGAGGAATTAAACAAATTGATGCCCCTATAAATCTGCACTCTGCAGCCTTCTGCGTTTGTCCACAGTCACTCCCAGCAGCAGACCTCATCATTATTCCAAGAGGAAACAAAGGCCATCTGAAAGGAACAGCCTTAACCCACAACACCTTCAGCTGTGTCCCCCTCACACTGTGACAGTCCTATCTGGGTTTCTACCCATCTGCCTCTCCCCACCCTGCCAAAGCTGAGCTCTGGGCATGTCCCCATCCCTGCAGGTGCCCTCCCAGAACTGTCTCCTCCCCCCATATTTTCAAGCTCTCCCTTAATTCTTTTCCTCAAGCCTTTAACTAAGCTCAAGTTATCTAGCAGAGGCTGGGGACATAGCTCAGTGATAGAGCATTTGCTCTGGAGTTGATCCCCAGCACCACACACAAAAATTTTAAAACCTACCATAAAAAAAGTACCTACCACAAAATCCTACCCCATCCTACTCCCAGCCCCAACTGCCAATCTCCTGCTCTCCTTCCTTTCGCTTCAAGTCCCCCTTTCCCAACCCCATATTAGATTTTGAACCCAGCGGCACTCTGAGCAACATCTCCAGCCCTTTTTATTTTGAGATAGAATCTTGCTAAAATGCCCCAGCTGACTTCAAACTTGTAACCCTCCGTCTTCATCTTCCCAAATCACTTGGATTACAGGTGTGCATTTGGTACCAGGGATTGAACCCAGGGGTGCTTAACCAGCTCTTTTTTATATTTTACTTAGAGACAGGGTTTTGCTGAGTTGCTTAGGGCCTTGCTGAGTTGCTGAGGCTGGCTTTGAACTTGCGATCCTCCTGCCTCAGCCTCCCGAGCAGCTAGGATTCTAGGCATGTGCCACTGAGCCCAGCCCAGCTGTCTTGAATAGCCATTTTTGTCTCCATGCTCCTCAGGAGCATTTAGCACAGTTGGACACTCCCTTCTTCATGAGACTCATTTTTCTCTAGCCATCCATGACATCTTGTTCTCCTGGTTCACCTCCCACATCACTTACTTTTCCTTCCAGATCTCTTGGGTAACTGCTTCTCCTCCACTAACCCTCACAACGTCGGGTACCTCCACCCTTGGCCCCTTCCTGTCCTCCATTTACTTACTCTTCCTAGGCAGTCTTCCTCATTATTTTAAATACTATCCGGATATTGCTGGATTCCAAATTCTTTCCTGAATCTGATCTCTTTCCTTGTCCAGTGCCCACTCCATCTGCACGGGGATGTCTGATAAGCATCTCAAACCTTGTGTGGCCAAAACAGAATGCTTGAGTCACACCTCTAAATCTGTTCTCCCTAAGTCCTCTCTATCTCTCTGTGTGGCACCAACAAACTCCCACTCATTGCTTGGCCCCAAATACTAGGAGCAGCATGATAAGCTGTCCTGGTTGCCGGGACTTAGGCAGGACTACGTTGTCCTGATTTTAGCTTTGTAAGTCCATGTCCCAGCCAGACGTGGTGGCACACGCCTGTAATCCCAGTGGCTCGGGAGGCTGAGACAGAAGGATCACGAGTTCTAAGCCAGCCTCAGCTATTTAGCAAAACCCTAAGCAACTCAGTGAGACCCTGTATCTAAATAAAATACAAAATAGGGCTGGGGAGGCGGCTCAGTGGTTGAACGTCCCTGGGTTCAATCCCTGGTACAAAAAAAAAAGAAAATCCATGTCCCAGGAAACCTCTCAGTCTCAGGCAACTAGGAGGCCTGGTCATCTTACCTGCAGATTAGTCTAGCTCCCTTGCTGTTCCTCACTTTCCACATCCAGCCAACTGGATCTCCCTCCAAGGAGACCCCAAATCCACCCTCTTTGCGCCTCCACTGCAACTGGGTCCGAGACTCTCCAGGTCCACACACACCATCCACATCTGCTCTCCCGCCTCCTTGCTTGGCCCACTGTATTTTTTTACACAATACCCAAAGGAGTTTCTCAGAGAGAAAATAGCATTGTAGCACCTTACACCTCCTCGGGCTAAAACCCTCCAATCACACTCAGGATAAATCTCCATTTCCTTCCTGTAGGCCCACATGACCTGGCCCATTGCCAAAGACTCATCTCCTTGCTCTTGCCCTCTTGTTTATTATTTAGCCATCGCTTTCTTTCCCCCCGACTCTGCTTTCCCCCTGGTCTCATTGTAATCCACCCCCTCCTACCATTTGGGGAGCCTTCCCCCATCATGGTATCCAAAGTTTCTCCCCATGGTATATTGTCTTCCTGGTATATATCACCACTTGAAGTCCTCTTGATTTTCCTTTCCTTTTCTTTTTTTTTTTTGGTCTTTTTGACTGGTCCATTTAAATGGAAACCCCTTGAGAGCAGACACCCTGCCAGTCTTGTTCAAGTGTGTTCCAGGCACTTGGCCCAGAGCCTGGCATGCCGTAAGTGCTCAGTAAATACTTGCTGAGCAAATGAATATTCAGCACATGGAACAGGGCTCATAAATGATATTGAATGAACAAATTAATGAGAGTCAACCAAGCTCTGCGCTAGGCATTAGGTCCACCGTAAACACTAAGATCTGGTTCTTTGGGCATTTGTGGTCACTGGGAAACAGATACATAAATCAATCTCTTGAACTAAAGATGCATAACAGTGATAAATATGTGGAGAATTACCAAGTGCCATATTATTTTATTTTCTTAAATAGTGTGATATGCTCTGGGTCCCCATCCCAGTGGGTGGCGGGAATTTGATCTTAATTGTTATTGAGCCTCTCTCTGCAACCTCTGGAGTCAAAAGGAAGTCCCAGAAGTCCCAAAGTCCAGGAAGAACCCTTTAATCTGTAGTCCCATATGATCCTGGCTCTAGCCTTTCTAATTCCTTGAGAGATTGACTACTTCTCAGCCACACTTGGACTGGAGGGGGAAAGGATAGGTAAAATTGGTTAGTGGGAAATTCTGTGGGAGCAAGTGTTAATCCCACATCTTGGGGGGACACCCCCGAGTCCCTTTGCCATTTTTAGATCATATAGATGGCCTCTGACCTGTGAATTCCACCTCTCTTCACTTCGACTCTCCCTCCCTTGCCTCCTCCTTTGAGACTATCCTACAAACTCTCCCCAGGTAGCCCCTTCACTGCCTCCCACAAACAGGAAAGAGGGAATCAGCTCTAAAATGGTCAGTTGCCCATATAAAACAGGTTCCTTACATCTACCTTCACTAACTTACTCCTTTCAGACTTCCTTATCTCCATTATTGATACCATGTCCTTCCTTGTCACCAAACATATCATCTATGACTTCATTTTTGAGTAAGCCACTGAATCCTGCTAACTCTCACGTCGCTGTGCTTTGCTTTCTAGTCTGACTATCATTTTGAATGAGCTCATCACTCCTACCTATGCTTGTGCAAGACATTCTACTTGATCCCTTCATTCCAGCTGTTCCTGACTTCAGTCCAACCACAAAATCATCCAAGAACTATTCTGAAAGAACCATCTGACAGCTGGGTGCGGTGGCACTGTAATCTCAGTGTCTCGGGAGGCTGAGGCAGGAGGATCACGAATTCAAAGCCAGTCTCAGCAATTTATTGAGGCCCTAAGCAACTTTGTGAGACCCTGTCTCTAAATAAAATATAACAAAGGGCTGGGGATGTGGCTCAGTAGTTGTGCACCCCTGGCTTCAATCCCCAGTACAAAAAATAAAAATAAAAAAGGGCTGGGGATGTGGCTCAGTGGTTGAGTGCACCTAGGTTCAATCCTTTGTACCCCAAACAGGAAAGAACCACCTGACCATGTCAGTCCCCTGTTGGTTTGTCATTTTATGCAGAATGAAACAGAACAAATTTGTTAGCGGCATCCAAGCAAGCTGTCATTTAGACTCTACATAACAAAACTTGTCCTCCACTACATTTCTGCCTTTCCTACTTGAAATGTCCTGTGCCTCACTACCTTTCACTGCCTCAAGACCCCAACATCTACCCGGTCAACAGTACTCACTTTTCAAAGTCCAACTCTAATCCAACGAGAAGGAATTAGCATATACTGAGAAAGAGTGAAGCACTATAGCTAAAGGGCTTGGCTCTGCAGCCAGACTGGGTTCAATGCCCAGTTCTCTGCCATTCTCTGGTGGTGTAACTTGGATAGGTTACCATGCTTTAGGTCCCTCACCTGTAAACTGGAAGATTGTTTATGTCTCATAATATACACTATGTGAGTATTTGATATTTAGTGTCAATATGGTAGTAAAAATTTTTTAAATCTATTATCTAATTTAATCCTTATTACTCTGGGGGATACTATTCAAATTTACAGCTTGCCTGATAGGACTCAAGTAATTTACACAGGGCACACAGCTGTGGAAAACTAGATCCAAGTTCAAATTTCGGTTCATAGCACTAGAAAGAGCTCAGGATGGAAACCAGAGAGGACTGATCTTTCAAACTTACTCTTAGAAAAGGAGTAAGCAAAGCGAACGTGTGTTCTGCTAAAGACAACAGAGAAACACAGTCACGAGGAAGTAGTTTTAGGGTAAGGGTTAAAGACAGATGATACACCAGACAGAGCGGTGCACGCCTATAATCCCAGCAATTTGGGAGGCTGAGATAGGAGGATGGCAAGTTCAAACCAGCCTCAGTAACTTAGTGAGGCTCTGTCTCAAAAAATAAAAAGAAGGGCTGGAGTTGTGGCTCAGGGGTAAAGCAGTTGCCTAGCTCTTGTGAAGCCCTGGGTTCGACCCTCAGCACCACATATAAATAAATAAATAAAGGTCCATTGACAACTAAAAAAATTTTTTTAAAATAAATAAATAAATAGGACTGTGGATGTAGCTCAGTGGTAAAGTGCCTCTGGGTTCAATCCCCACTCAAAAAAAAAAAAGACAGATAGGCCAGTGTGTGACTTCACAAGGAAAAAAAACAAACAATATGCATGCATATAATCCCAATCCCAATAGCCCTATTAGAATCCCTTACAGGGAAAAGTAAGTGTGTTCCTGAAACAGTTAATTTGAGGAGAGAGGTGCTTACACTAACATTTTAACTCCACAAGATCTACCACAGAATTAGGGTCTCCAAAAGTTTAAGAACTGTATGAGACAACGGAGTGACTTCTTTAAAGTACTGAAAGAAGAAGAAGAAAAAAACCCAGAAACCTGAGTATGTCTTAGCTGGGTTCACAGGTGTGCGTCACCATGCCCAGCTAAAATATGAGTGACCCTTGAAAGTAAAAATAATAGCAATATATTATAGGATTATAACTTTTGTATACATGAAAGATACACAATAGTATCTTTTGTAAGATATTATATATGAAGGTCTACTATCACTCAAAAGTATACCATGACTGTGATGAGTTAAAACTATCTAAACCTATGCCCAGCTTGGTGGTGCATGCCTGTGACCCCAGTGATTCAGGAGCTAAGGCAGGAGAATGCCAAGTTTAAGGCCAGCCTCAGCAACTTAGTGAGGCTCTGTCT